CTGTGGTGTAGTTACCAGACTGTTGATTAACACACTTAAATCTTTCTAAATATATACATATTATAGATAAATTACACCTAGACACAGAACAAAAGTACGAGCTCAACACTTAATATTTGTCCTGGGTGCGAATCGAACTCTCCAGTCAGCTTCGCTCCCTACTAGACCTCGAAGCCAACCAAATAAGTTATTTATATGTGAATGTTTTTTTATTCAATTAATAAAAACTGTTTAGAATGCAACCAACCAATCAATCCGTAGAACAAATTATCATCTGCGGTATTACCGGACCAATACCACCATCAAGAAAAAAGCGTACTCCTTCCTTAAAGGCCGGCAACGCGTTTGTGACTCTGCAGGCGTTTATGGGCGGCGGTAGTCACTTTCCATGAGGTAACCCGTCTTTTCGTCGATCCTCACTCCCATAAAAATAATCATTTCTAAAAACTTTATATTTAAGTATGCATTGTACGTACACATTATTCAAATTCATTCAAAGAACGCCCAGACTCAGAACAACAATTTGTGGATCACACAAAGTGTTTTCCCATGTGGTGATCGAACTCATAACACTCAGCGAAGTACGAAGAGGCGCGGTGACCGCTTGAACCACTACACGATCCGTGCATCTTTATTCTGAAAAAAATAAACCTAGTAATTACATAAATCGATATTATTTCATTTTCTAAGAAATTGGATGAGGTTTATTTATCCACCGCAAAGACTGTGCAATCCAGACAAAGATAAAAATTCAATTTTGACATATCAAAAGATAGTTCAAAGTCTTGAGGTCGTGTTATAAATGGTTACCAAGAAGGGTGTGCATAACCGCAACATAACTAACTGTTTTATGACTTCGACAACAGAAACATAGATCACACTTATTTTTCTACACACTCTCACACACATCAATGAACTAATCTCATTAGAAATACCTTAAAATTACCATTCAAGCATATCACAGCGAGTTTCGTTCAAATTTTATAAACACATAATACCGTCTGCGAAGTTTCTAGTCCCACAATTCATCACTCGTCTTTACGAAGACAACTTTTTAACTATCTAGTATATTATTCTTATGAGAATGCGGTAACCTGCTTGTCATCTGGAAGTTATACAAGCAAATATATACCATTTCTGTATTTTCACAGAGCCTATAATTGGTTAAATTGATCTACAGTAGACTATTTATTAAAATAATCTTTATTTAATATGTCGCAGAGCAGAAACTTGCTTGTGAACAAGTCAATATGCCATTAAACAATTGTGGGAATTTTTCTTACTATTGTTTTTCGAAGTCTACATGTAACCTTAGGTTCATTTTAGTTCATCGAACTTTTAGCCGGCTAAGTGAAGACCCGTAAAATTTTGGCAAAATGATCATTATGGGTACGAGATGCCGTTATTGTAAAAATTAAGAAAAAAACCTAATTTATTTTTCCCTGATGGTTACCTTGTAAAGGGAAAACATAAACAACTCCCAGTACAGGTAAGGTACACAATAAATTATTCCACACAAATCCATGCCACAGCAAATGGGCAGCCATTTTCTTTCAAACGAGACTCAATACAAAATCAATGAGTTTTTATCGAAGCCAAGACGATTGTACTTCCTATGACTTGTTTGGTTCGATTCATAAGATAGTGATCGATTTGAGGTAATTTCTTAGAAGACTGAATTTTTACTAATTGTTAATTACACGTTGTTTTACAGATTAATTGTAATTGAATAACTCCAATAGTGCATTGAGAGCAAATCGTGCGCTAAGGGTTTGTAGACTTAAGTGTAATTTGGTTTTCAAAACACCTACATATGAGCTGTTTCGTAGTTAATAGAAAGGTTTCAGAGTTTCGTAGTTAATAGAGAGACCATTTCAGTGGGGTTTCGTAACATCTTAGTTTTTTATGCATTCTAAATGTTGGTTACGAGGGTATCAAGTAAGCAACAAGTAAAATTTAAATAGGTTACACTTCATGAAAATGTATTTAAGACTTCATTTTGTGTCAAATGACAAACTCGTTCAAAAAAGATTTGTCCTCTTTATGAATTTGTAATTATCATCATCTCTACTCTTTACGTTTATCTAATTAGTATTTTTAAGACTTGAACGTCTGTTCACGTCTCTTAGGTTTTTATTTTCAAACTTGTGCCACCTCTCAACGACAGCGAAAAGCAAATGAGCATCATTCAAGAGCCCTTTGGGTTCTTATATAAATCGCTTTATCGTATTGGTAACATCAATTCCCTTAATAGGCGTACCTCGTGATTACAATTGAGACTAAAGTATACCACCTACAGAATATTTTAGACTTCAAACAATTCGTTCGTGATTCTTAAATTTATTATTCCTTTGTAAGCTTGAGTTTCTTTTGGATTTTAATAATATTATTAGGTTGGATTTTAAGAATATTATAGTAGGCCAAAACCTCCTATCTAAGGAGAGGCTTATATCCAGCAGTGGACTATTAGAAGCTGTTGATGATGATGAATATTATTAGGAAAAGTAACAGAGTTCTATTTTACTGTGAAGATACTCAACGAGGTTCTTGTTGCACGGTTTAAGGCATAAGTATTTCTGAGTTCGCTTAAGCCAGAGTAGGACCTTAATGAAGATCTGAATTAATTGCCAATTCATCAGTACCACCATATGCACGCTGTATTCAATTCAGCGTATCTCCATCATCTAGTATTTTCGTTTCAAATATAACGAAAATCTCTGCTAATCAAAATCACCATTTATGTCTCATGCATTCCTCAGTATGGATCCATTCTTCTCTTATTTTCTTTCCTTTCATTCTTTTCTTTCTAAAAGCTCTCTTGTAGGAACTCAGATTCATCAAAGCAATGATTCGTGATCTTCATTATGAAGTGGATAACTCGTTACAACACTAGCAATATAAAATATTGTATCTGTAATATATATTTATAATTGTATATTTTTATGTAAAAATTACGTGCCAATGTTTATATTTTTAATACACTTAATTATATCTGAGGTCTCGGGTTCGATTCCCGGGTCGGACTAAATGTTTGTTACAGAGTTTGGGCGTTTTCTATCTACAATACGTGTGTATTTACGAAAACAAAAAATATAAGTATTCTATCAGTCAATTTAGTTTTCATAGTACCAGATCTGCTTAGTTTAAAGGTAGATGGCGTTGTGTGTCAGATGTCCTAATTATAATTTTATTATATTGTATTTTTTTTTTTATTTCAGTCTCTTCTACATAGTTCTAGATTAAACATCACGCCGGCCTATACATGTAGTGCATAAGCTTTTAAATCGAAAATTTAAATACTTTCGTTATGAAAATAATTTAAATTAATTGTAGACCTTATTTAAATCGATATAAAATTATTTAAATCGGAATAGGAATAGGGAGTGAGTCATATTTCAGAATCGTAAGACAGTTCTGCGGCTTGCGAAATGCACTCCGACACCGCATTCACTGCTATTTGGAAGGGATTTATAAAGTGGTTAAAACACTGAGCTTGTGGTTGACTTTCAATAAGTAATTTCCCTGGAGAATATTGCTTACCTGATCTTGTCGTTGTTTTCGACGAGAAATTAAATTTATGATGCAGGGGTTAGGTAATTTGTCACTTTTAGTGCATTTGTGTAGTAATTTATCTAATATATAAAATTCTCGTGTCAAGGTGTTAGAAGTTGAACTCCTCCGAAACGGCTCGATCGATTTTCGTGAAATTTTATGTGCATATCGGGTAGGTCTTAGAATCGGCTAACATCTATTTTTCATACCCCTATTTTTTTTTATTTTTTGTCAAAAAATTTGAAATAATGTATATGGCAAAACTCAGTTAGTCGGTCAGCTAGTTTTATATTTATAAATGATAGATGAGAAGGAAAACTTGAAACAAACTCTTTTTTTTTTACGTGTCGAAACTTCCTTAGGGCCGTCACCCCACCGGAGTTTACGGCGGGGGGTGTGTCGGAATCGGACCGACTAAAACCACACAGTGTGCCACTCTGCGCCTGTAATAGGAGGGCCTATTACAGGCGCAGAGTGGCAATATCCGGGAACTGATACCAAGCCGTCTGGCCAGCGTTGTATAGTAGGCCAAAATTGTAAGTAAACCATCTCGAACTTTACACTTGAAATATTATTGATTATAAAGTTATTCCAATAATTAAATAGTACAGAATTTATTCCCTATTTTTTTGTATGTTAGAGGGGGCAGACGAGCAGACGGGTCACCTGATGGAAAGTGACCATCGCCACCCATGAAGTAATTCCTTAGTCCTCTTCTCTAGTTTAACCAGTAACGGTTGTTCATCGGTAATCTCACTCACTCCATGAAAAGCAGCGAAAGAATTGCTAACACCGGTTTTCTGTGAGGCCGTGGTATCACTCCGGTCGAGTTGGCTCATTTATCTCTACCACGTATCAAAAGATAAAAATATCTTTAACAAAACTGAAAAATATTTATATTTATTATACTATAACTTTTCATACGACGGAAAGAATTTGGAATAACATAATTTTTTCTTCGCTAATACTCAAATACCCATTATAAATATATAGCTTTTTTATCGATCATTTAGATAGTCCCACAAAGTCTTCACCTCAACGGAGCGGACCAGCGGTGAGTTACGAGTACTATGTCGAAATCGCACCTAAACTAAATTCGACTAAAACGTAAGTATTCTGACAACAGTAATCGACTGCAAATAAGAACATCCAGCTGTAAGTTTTGTGAGCTCGAGCGTTGTCGAGGAGAATCAATGGGTTCGATCAATGGGCGATTCGGTAGTGCTATGTATACTTCGACGCGTTAGTCTCGCTTAGTTCATGAGGCACCTACCTACATATGTAGCTTTTTTATCTTGCCGATTTGACGCAAGTGTTTCAATTTTGTTTTGACAGTAACTCCGAAGCCCGCAGCAAGCTCAGGCGTAGATAGAGTTGGATCCGCTTCTACTATCGTCTATAATTCGTCGTTGTCAACTATAGTTGTTACTTGCCGACCGCAGAGCCCGCTACGTGCCCATATAGTGCCACATAGTCGCAGACATAGACAAGGCATAACACTCCCAAAACTCACTCTCAGTTTTCTTGTCAGAGCAGAACCCAAGATCGACTAATGCCCCATTCACACTTTTGAAGTATGTCGTAGTCGTCAACTTATTGAAATCGGCTAGAGCCTTAGTCATCAAAGCCAGGTCTGCACCTTCGCTGTCACTGTAAGTGCCAGTGTAAACGAGCGGGTCGTCCCTGTAGTCAGCACTGGCTAACTCCAGTTTCCCACGAGACTTAGGGATCATCAAATTGTGAACACTGAATAAAGTGTTCCTCCCGGCAGAGGCCGCAAACCATTTATTGCACACGTCATCACTGTACTTAAAGATGTTGCTGCAAAGTTGCACCGTGGCGGTCGAGTCATGTGGGAATAACAGGTTGATAGACTGGTAGTCTGGGTACGTTTGCTCGCTGTTTAGGGTGGCGTAGAGGCAAGTAGTGGGGACCGGAAATTTATAAGGATTTGCCTTTGGCGTGGCGGAGGTATCCTGTTCCAGCTGGTAGAAGAGCACGGCGGATGGATGATCTTGGAAGTTCTCACCTACAGGTAAGTCGGCTATCACGTCAATGACTAAAGACTCGAGATGTAAACGTGGTCCAATACCTGACAACCTTAAAATCTTTGGGCTGTTGAGTCCACCAGCAGACACTAGCACCTCCTTCTTAGCATATAATTTGGAATGATCACCATTGGAATCAACAACCTCTACGCCAACTGCTACATTGTTTTCGATCAGAATCTTAGTGACGGTAATGTGCAATGCCACACAGAGGTTGCTACGTGACTTGGCTTCCCCGAGATATGTCTCAGCGTTACTTTGTTGTACCTGGTCGTCAATTTCAAGCAGTGGCTCAGTGGCGCCGAGACTTGAAGTAGTAGATGTTGTATCATCGACAACATTGTGACCTAACTCTTTGAAAGCGGCTAGTAAATTATCATTGGCTGAACTGCTTTGTTTGCGAATACGAATAGGACCGTCTGTACCGTGAAGACTAGCGAATTCTGAAGTAAGTAATTCAGGGTCCGTCAATTTTTCCTGTTGCTTCAAATATTGTTGAATATTCTTATAACTCCATGAATCATCGCCTAAAATGGTCGCCCAGTTATCATAGTCAGGTGGATCCCCATGTACGTGTATCATGTGGTCCAGAGCACTGCTACCCCCTAACATCTTGCCAGCTGTTAGCTCGATGACGCCTCCTTGTAAGTTCTGTGCTATTCGTTGATCATTTACTGTCGTCAAGTTATAATCAAATACTGAACTTGGAAGCACAGTGAATACTCCTGCCATCTAGAATAAGAATTAATTTATTAGAAGATAGACTGTGAATACATTATCACTCATAAAAGCTGTACTGATAAGTAAAATATTTCTATTTTATGTGAAACTTTTTTTTTTTTTTTAAATAAAAGTGATATAAGAAAAGATACTAGAGGTTTGACTCTTTTTGAAGTTATGGGAAAATAAGCGGTGGAGAAAGAGGTGTGCAAACTCTTCAAAAGAGTGATTGTAAGATCTCGTCATAGTAGGCGCTCCACCGATGATGCGATCATGCGCATGAGGGCTCTGGCGGAGGAAGCGGTTGCCCGGGGTGAAGTGATTTTGGCGGTGTCCTTGGACATCGCCAATGCGGTCAACACTTTGCCCTGGAGTTGCATCAGGGAGGCGCTCGTGTATCACGAAGTGCCTCTCTACCTTCGCCGCATATCGGTCGGAGCATATTTATCAGAGAGAGCCGTGGTTAACCCAAGCAGGACCGGTCTCGGTAGACGGTAGACGTCTCGGTAGAGTCACTCTTGTGGAACATCGGCTACGACTGGGTGCTTCGTGGTGCCTTTTTGGATGGTGTCGCAGTCACGTGCTACGCTGACGACACGCTCGTGACGGGCCTGCGGCAGAACGCACCTTGAGGCAACACTGATAGCCACGGCCGGGGTTGCCCAAGTCGTCGAGCGGATGCGGCGGCTGGGTCTTGAGGTGGCTCTATACAAATCCAAGACCTTCACGGCCTCGGAGGAAGCCAGTTGAGGGATCTAGCCTTATAGTAGGAGGCACTCGCATCGGCATCGAGCCCTCGACTACGGAGCAGGACTGGGAGAGGTTTTGAACTCTCCCGGAGCGCCAGGGACCTACATACCTGCCGGGCACACGTTATTGCGGCGGTAAGACCCGTTATAGAGGATTGGCTCGAGAGGCGTCACGGAACCCTGTCATACCGACTCACGCAAGTGATTGGCAGTTGGCAGAATGCCCGGCGTGGGTGGAACATAGGCGTGATCTCGTGGTGGCCATCGGGGTGGGAGTCCTCTCGCTCGGTAGTATGATTGCCGCCATGGTACGGAGCGAGAGTGCGTGGAACTCCGCCGTATCCTTCTGCGAGCAAGTTATGTTGCGAAGGAGATGGTGGACCGGGACCGGGAGAGGTTTTGAACTCTCCCGGCCCGCCAGGCCCGGGAACGGACCAGGTACCACAGACAGTTCGCAGAACGACCTCCGCCCTCCATAAGCTCAGGCCTGGGGGTGACAGGTGAGGCCATCTGTCACCCTAGCAGAAGCAGGCCGGAATGGCGGCGAGACACGCTGCCGAGCGCATTTTGGGAGCACCAAGGGAACATGGGGTTTCCCACACAGGAGAGGGCCATCTACACGCCGTGGATGACCCGAGACGGCGTGCGGTTTTTGGTCGGTTCGAGTCCGACATAATCACCCCGGTGGGTGATATCCGAGTGGATTTCCGCACAGAAAAAAAAAGGGAATCTACATACCGCAGACGGCTTGATAAAAAATCTGATGTGTCATTCATTTTCCATTGCAAAGCCTATAATGTAAATAATGGTATGTATCCTCCTATACTGAAGCACTATTACACAGGTATTTGTACAAGTGCTTCAGTAGAAGAATAATTATATAACGACATTTTTGAAAACATATTCGTTTAGAATTACGCAAAATGTATTAACATATTCAGGAAGTATGAAAATTTAATTAAATACAGGTGTGCTAATATTTATGATAGACTAGCTTTTTGCAGTGGTTTTATCTGGCCGTCTTAAATGTATATTAGGGTTACGGATTAAGAATACGTAATTACACCACCCCTATTCATCCTGTGGGTGTATTTATATACTTATCCTAGTGCCTTTCAAATTGCAGAAAGTCACCGACCAAGTGAGATAATCATGATTTTTTGACACCATAAACGTCTAAAAGTTATCCGTTTGGTGACGGATTAAGAATACAGAGTGTCACCACCCCTATTCATCCCGTAGGTGTCGTAAGAGCCGACTAAGGGAGAAAACTACGCAAGACGACACTGCAAAGAGAAGGAAAACTTGAAACAAACCCTATACCAACCCGTCTGGCCAGCGTGGTATAGTAGGCCAAAACCTCCTATCTAAGGAGAGGCCTAAGTCAAGCAGTGGACTATTATAGGCTGTTGATGTTGATGATGATGAGGGTTAGGGCTCGCTATCATATCTTTAGGAGTTAGAAAATTAGGGTACTGAAGAAGATGCTTTCGGTGCAGAATCTGTGTGAGGCTGGCCCGTGGAGCGTAAAGCTGCCGGTAACAAGAGCTTTTATCCAACGATTGCAGTAAGGCATGGTACTGATTCAAAAGACACATAAGACCTCGCGAGTAAGGGTTGAGAATCGGGGCTAATTACTGCTAATAAAGTAGAACTTTCTTGTGGCATCTAGATTTTCTTGAGGGGTTTCAGGTTCTTACACAAATTTTGAGGCAACGGCCTTTGTTTCCATTTAATCATTGACGACATTACGATTTGTTTTATAGTAATCAGTTAACGAAGACCTACCCTCCTCCCCTCCTTTATTCTGGGGGTAACTCAAAGAGTACAACGCATCTGTTGCTGTTGAATTGCTGGTGTCTCTGAGCGGCGGCGGAAGTCACTTATCATCAGATAACCCGTCTGCTGGTTTGCCCCCCATATCATAAAAAAAAACAACCTTAGCTATCTTTTAACATGGCGTACAGCATATGTAAGATAGGAATTTCTTAAAATAATAAAGTACTTATTTACGGTTTCCAAAGTGCACCCTAACATCCAACTCCCCCTATTTGAAAGGGATTTATTAAGTGGTTAAAACAGTGAGCTTGTGGTTGGCTTTCAATAAGTAATTTCCCTGGGGAATATTGTTTACCTGATCTTGTCGTTGTTTGGGAGGGGAAATTGAAGTTGAGATGCAGGGGAGCTAATTTGTCATTCTTGTTGCATGTGCGCATAAAAAACTGACTGACTGAAAAAATATCAGTTAAAAACAGATGTTGATGGAATGTTTAATACTATAGAAATTAAGCATACTTAAAGCAGAAATTTATACTTTCTACATGGGGTCTTTTAAAATGAAAATAAAAATGCCGCTCGGCAAATGACTGTATCTCATTCAAAAAGTGTTCTCATGTAAGTGAATATGTAATTCTTTATGATTATAAAGTTTCTTAAATCCAAAATTTCTGCTAAATTCGTTCAACGAATTAAATAATAAATTTCATAAAACTTCCTTAAAGACGTTTTTCCTTCCAAAATTTCACGTTTGTAGACCCAGCGGTTTAGGCTCTGGCGTTAATGAATCAATCAGTCAGACAGGGCAGTAAGTTTATATGTATAGAAGGTCATAGGAGACGACAACCGCATACAAAAACTCTGTTGTTGTGCTTGTTTATTGTAACTATAAATTCACCTTTTTTATTTTATCATTTTAGTTATTACAAAACGTAATTTTTTGGTCATTTACTAACATTAATATGAGTCCGTCTGGAGCACGTTACGCCTGCGGTCGTAGAAGGAGATGGAATCATAAGATATACATAGAAGCACTTATGAATATCTGAATGTTCCATGCGTGATTAGATATGCAAATCTTAAGCCTTGAAATAAACAATGACGTGTGATACTTATAAATACATTCTTGTATCTGTAATACATATCATTAAGGTATTCTTGAATTTGGTTAACAACCAAATGCCTATTTATTAAATTCAAAGTTAACGTGGGTGTCGTAAGAGCCGATTAAGGGAGAAAACTACGCAAGACAGCAGCTCTGCAAAGAGAATTAAAACTTGACACAAATACTATACCAACTCGTCTGGCTAACCTGGTATAGTAGGCCAAAACCTCCTTTCCATATCCATCCTCCTTTCCATGCCATATATATATATATATATATATATATATATATATATCTATTTCAAAGAGAGGCTTATTTCCAGCAGTGGACTATTCTAAAATGAAGACGAACTTTGTCCTAGGTCTACATGACATGACATGTTAAATTTGATCTGCCGATGGGCATCTAACCCCTGACAGGCTGTAAACATCAAGTGTTTAAAGATGAGTTTCCAGCCTGACCTTTCCATAGATGTGATTTTTTTAGTGATATGAAATAAAGACTTTTATATCCCATTTTCTTTATAAGTGTCAATTAGACAGTCAAAATTCAAAAATCTGATTTATCGAACCTATCTGTAAGAGTAGTGATAATTTTCACAACATCAGAATATCAGAAACTACTCCCTAAAACAATGGCAATATTCTTCTCAACGCCATAACCGTAATAGTAAATTAAATAGATAACATTACTAACAACTGGTGTTTAGAATCTCCACTAAACATAGATTGAGATACTTTCAAGGGAATTATTTTAAAGAGCTTTGCTGAGAATTTTCTATGAAAATACCTAAGAAGATAATTTTAAATAACTTTCATAATATCTTAACAATTTCGTTATGAGAATTTGTTCACGAGAGAGGTGTAATGTTATGGCTGAACTCTGAGTATATGGGTTCTAAGAAATATCTAGAATACCTGATATAATTATAAATGTGAAAATAAGACTGCAAGGATGGCGAAGTGGTCGCCACGCCGCTCTCTACTTACGCCACGACCCCTTGTGTGATCCACAAATTGTTGTTCTGAGTCTGGGTGTTCTTTGTGTTCGTTTCATGTATGTTTGTTAAGTCCCCCGCGACACAGGACATATTCGTAATGCGGGAGTTGTCTTTTTTGAAAGAATATAAAAAGAAGAAATAATCGAAAATAGAACTTAAGATTTCAGATTCACGTAAATACAAAAAAAAAACTTTTTGATTTTTGTCTGTCTTCATTTTTTATATTTGGCTTTGCTTTTTGATATGGTTATTTTTTTGATCTTTGGATTATTCTTTTAATGAATATAAACAAAACTTTGAGAAGGAAAATATTAGAGAAAACCTTTTAGAGGGGACAAAATAGAGGATTAATGTTTTTATGGAGAATTCAATCTGAATTCAA